CCTGATATCATTTTCCTAATGAAAATACACGCAGGGCCAGGGATTTAGCTCAGTGGTTCTGCTGCCTGCTTTGCAAGGGCAAGGTCCTAAGTTCGATCCCCGTGCAAAAAGAAAAGAAAATGCACAAACTGTGTTCACAGACCACTTGTAAACTGTTGTACTTGGGTAGAGACAATGGCCCCAGACAGCGCTATCTTCATACATAGATGTGGACAAATGGCACAGGCTCCCAAAGGAGAGTCGTCATGTATCCCCAAGAGATTGGGGGGATGATTCTGTATTTTGTTTCTCTTTTATTGTTTTTTGTATGTTTTGGCACTGGTTATGGAACTCAGACCTCACACATGCCAGGCAGGTGCTCTACCACTGAGCTACACTACATCCCTAGCTTTGTATTTTGTTTTAAATCAATTTCTTTCTCCTTGCATTTCCTAGGCCAGTAATGGTGAACATTTTAGAGACCAAGGGTCCAAACTGCAATGCAAACCCATTTATTTCCCACAAAGTACCAACACTGCAATTATACCTGAATAGTGAGGTTTTAGTTCAGAAAAAAGCAATTCATACATTACCATCTTTTGTCTTAAAAGAAAAACACAGTAACAGAGCTTTCAGTAATATAAACAGCTTTTTATTGAAAGGTAAAAGTTTGCATTTGGCATGTTTTTACACAATTAATATGATCTTTGCTATTGTGTGTATGCTGATAATTTGTCAAACCTTGTTTGGGGTGACTTGGCTCGAATGTCAACAGAGGGCTCTGCATGACCACTGCAGCATGCGTGCTATAGGTTCGCCATCACTACCCTGGGCACTAAGAACACTCACAGTTACCCAAATGGTCATTTCTCTCATTTTCTATGTTTAGGAGCCCTTTTTTTAAACTGATGGTCAATTCTCTCTCCAACTGGAGAATCAGGCCAATCCTGATTGGTCTGCGTTAGTCATGTGAATACCAGATTACCTGCCATTGGTGGCCAAGGGTGGGTCTCTGACTCAGTTCTAGATGCTCTGGTGAGAGAGGAAACCTGCGAGCGGTGACGGAGGTATCTTCAGAAGGACATTGTACCGTAAAGTGTAACGATGTTGCTGTAACACTACCAATCAATATTGTTGAAACCAGGAGAAGGAAAACCTGAAGGCAAAAGCCAACAAGCTGAAGGCAGCAGAGAGCAAAGGGGAGGAGAGACCTGAATGTTTGATGGCATGAGTCAACCAAATGAGAATCAACCAAACCCTACAACACCCTCTTCAGAATTCCACACTACTTAAAATGATAGAGCTTCTCATCATTTTTAGTCATTTTGACTCAGGCCTCCCATTGTTTGCTGATAAAAATGTCTTAACTGATAACCCACAAAACCACATTCTCCCAGTAAGCAGCAGTTATCTCCATAGTAACGCAATAAGGCTCCACTAACACCTGGACTCTCAGGGTGGAAAAAGAACTCATCTAAATGACTTTGTAAAATTGTTTTTCGTTTTTCTAAAATGCTCTGTTTTGCCCTTTCCTGAGTTTGCATGCTACACTTTTCCTTCACATCACAAGAGTTTCTAGGCTAACTAGTCTGTCTTCACTAAAGTACATAATTCCCAGTACATAAGTACATAATCCACAGAGGATTTTTTTAATGTAGCTTTTAGTTGTCATGCCTCTAGATCACCTGATTATGTCTTATTTAGATTTTTTAGATGTAAGAACTCTTTTCCACTCATTACCGGAAGATAACCACCCATCAGAATAGCACAAATAATTGAGGATGATTAAGAAATATAAGCACAAAAGGAAATAAGGGAAAAGAAAAATATGAGAAAATGAAAAAATGGAAATAAAGTATTTGTAAATAGGGAAGGGAGGAGGGGGTGAAGGGAGGGCAGGGGTAAGGGGAAAAATGAGAACCAAGACCTGTCTTGTAGAGGTACAAGATCCCAATGATCCCAATTTAGGTACTGTATATCTAAAATGTACCAATAAACTTAATGAGGGGGAAAAAAAGAAATAAACACACAGGAATAAAAGAAAAAAAAAGTAAAATATAAAAGGAGACATAGAAGGAAGAAAATAAACTCAAATAATGAAAATAAGCTGTCACAAAATGAGGCCACATTTTTATTCCATCATGTCTTGGAGAAAAGGTGGGCAATACAGTTGGGAAAGAATGAAAGACAGACAGAATTTATCTACTGACAGAGGGATAAAGGATTGAGTAGCTCTCATGGGAACCTTAGCACTTAAAAGAAAGCGACTGTATTACTAAAAGAGCAAGACCAGCCCTCCTCTCAGTCTGGCTTCCTGTCTCACCATGCGATTCCTATTCCAAGTGCTCCTGCTGTTATGCTATCTCCATTATGAAGTCTCCACCCACCAGACCTGAGCCCATGCCAGCTCCATGCCCTTGAACCTCCAGAACTGCAGTCTAAATAAACCTTTTTCTATATAAAGTTCTCAGCCTTGGGAACTGTGTTATAATAATGGGAAATGGACTAACAGAAGTAATACAAAAGCATAGTTTACAATATATATAAGCCACCCAGAATCATGAGACAAGAACACACGTATACAGTACCTGTGACTGTGTTAGCACATCATTACTGTGCTAGAAGACCCTGCTGGGTAGATCAGCAGTTCCATCTCCTTATAAATGACCACTTGCTGAATTTATATCCAACATCAGTCACTATCCAAGACGAATACTGCAAGGGAAGAACGGGCTGGGGAGAAGCGGGTGCCTGTCACTGAGGACCCAGAAGCTGGAGATGTGGTTCCCAATCTCACTCTTGGAATGCAGGCTTTTACTAGGGAACAAGAGTCTTGGTTGCTTAGCAGAATACAGAGGTGAAAGAGGCAAGGGTAGGTCGACTGGCTGTGGGTCAATACCGGACTAAGATATAAGTCACGGAGAGGCACTCAAGTGTATTGAGGTCTTACTTGGACCAGATGAGAAGCAAGATATGCAAAAATCCAGAATCAGTGGTATCAATAGGAAGCCAGAAATCACACCAGGAACCAAAGACAACAGATTCAACAGATTTTATTTGGACCACTTGGGTAGAGGTGTGGGCAGAACTACCAGGCTAAGATACCCAGGGCCAGTGACCGGCAACTGTTTCATCAGATCCCTCCTTCAAAGAGCATTCAACCCACTCCTTGCTCTCCCAGCAGAGAGCTTGGCAGTGCTCTATCTGTAGCGCTCTCTCTCTCTCTCTCTCTCTCTCTCTCTCTGGAAGCCCCTCCAGCTTCCCTGCTCCTTGGGCCACCTCTGCCCATAGCGTGGCAGGAGAAGCAGCACTGCCCCTCCAACCTAGGATTGAATCTCATATTGATCCTAAGATGGTAGGCAGAATGGTGAATGGGGACAAATGACACCTGTGTCAAGGTGTCCTTATGAGGAAGACAACCTGTTAGATATATAGTGGGGGCTGATAAATGCTTCTTCATCCATCCAACAGCAGATGTTATGAATATCCAACTACATACCATACCAGCTACCACAGCCAGCATGTTCCCTGCCCTCGTGTGCCTTCCAGTCTAGAGACAGAGACAGACATGAATCCATAATCACAAAAATAATTGCAAATAATAAGTATGACAAATGGGGGCAAGAAAGCATATATTTGGGAAGTTTGATGATTCTGAGAGACTGAAAAAGACCCTGCTCAAAGCCATCTTTTCTAGCCACTTGTCCTGATTCCTTAAGCCAAAGGTTTTATTGGTCTGTAAATTCTCAGAAGGAAGCCCGCACTCTGTAAATGACACATGTATTACTCTACTGTGGCTAGTATTTTATCTAACTAGTCACATCCACATTCAGCCTCCCCTATCAGCTCCTACATCTGTATGTGTCTCATCGTGTCTTCTAAAGTCTGTTATTTTAATAAATAAATCAAACTTGCCTTCTTAAATCTGCCATAATTTGACACTTAATTTATGCCTTTCGTAAGCCAAGTTCCCACTGCTTTCCAAGAAATCTGGCAAAACATAATAGGTGATCTGCAGGGAAACAATTATTTGACTTTTCAGAAATTGTACAATATCCATACCTCATAGAGTATGACACCTCTAAACCGCTAGAAAACCCCAGACCTGAGCTGACTCACCTATTAATTAGGGGTATACAGAGAAGAAAAAGTAACGCTAGTAGAATTCCATTTGCCAAGTCCTCAATTCCTAAATTTTATAATTAAAATTTTAGTTTATGATCTAGAAAAAAGAATAGGTACCAGAAAAACTTTTGTGCACCAGAACATTCATGCCTGTGAAGGTTGCTTATGTAAGGGAAAAAAAAAACATCTTTTACTTTTATTCTTCTAGGTTCATGGCTGAGGCCTCTATAGCAATTAACAAGAGAAAATATACTAATTTATTTAAATACCTTTTACATGAGACAAGAGGTTTCAAAAGGAAATGAAGATCTGAAAAAAGGGTTAAACTTGAGCCTTTTAAATAATAGGTTTTATGAAGAATAGAGCTGTAGAGAAATATGATAGGGCAAAAATAGTACACTCCAATGGCAGTAAGCTGAGAGGAGTTTTAGCAAGGCCTGTTTGCTCAGTTTGCTATGCCTCTGTGTCTCTGGAGATTAGGATATTCCTTCTTTCCTTCTTCACATAGGGATGGCACCTCTCACATGAGAGTCTTTATATCTGTTTCAGAGTAGGGCCAAATATATTTTATTATCTGCTTCAGCAAAGGGGTGTGGTGGGGAGAAGATTAGTGTGGCCTTGCTTTTTCCATTTTCTTGAATTTGTTCAACTTAAAATATTCAGTATGCCAAAGTACCCTATCTTGAGGTAGCATGTCCAAACCCCAGCACTTGATATTAAGCCTGACTCTACAGTTAAATCTGGAAATCAACTCAGATAAGCAATTTTAATCATATAATGGTAACAGAAAATTAAGTTCTATTTCAATTCTGGAATTTTTTCAACATTAAGAGTTTTCCCCTTGTCAATATGTATGAGTCATTGTAATTAATAGCTATAATTATTGTTGACATCCATGATGGCTGTAACAATTAGAAAAGCCAAAGAAATCAAAGAAAACATTTTACTATTAATTTAAGTACTCATTATTTCATTTAATTTCATTTGATCTTTGTATCCTTGAAATGTTTTATTTTTAAACATCCAAAGGCCAAATAGAAGCAAGATTTGTAAATTCAAACAAATGTATAAACAAACAATCCAGGCCCTCTTAAGTAATTTGTCAAATAGAAACAATCCATCCATAAAGGAAAAATCACCCAATCAGCATCTCCATTGTGGCCCATTGAGGAAAAGGAATTTTCTGTCTTAATCACTCTTGATTCCACAATATTAAAACCTTGTGTAATTTTAAGATATATAATGTATAATGATGGGTAGAGAAGAGTTAATTTTCTTGTTCTGTGGGTTTCACCAGCTTATCTTCCATGACTCTTAATTGCTCCTTGAAAACACTCACTCCCCTGCTCTTGTGGGTCAAATGAATTCTCCTGAATTATTAGTTCTCATCAACTAGTTCCCCATTCCTGCTGTTTTCCTTTTGCACATTCTTTGCTGGATGCAAACAACCCCCATTATACTCGGGCCCCAAATAAAACTGTAAATATTCTTTAAGAGCAGTCAGTCCAAATTGCTCAGGGATACTCTGAAGATTTTTTCTTTTAAAGCAAGCAAATATTATTCACACAAGACTTTTGTTAAGTATTACTTAAATCACAATTGGTTAAAAAAACAATTTTAAATCATTTATTAAAACCATCTTATAAGAGCACCAAAAATCTTCCTCAGTCACTGACAGAGGGCCCTTTTCACACCTCTGTTACATAGTGGAGTCCCCCACTATACTCCTAAGAGGACAATGTGGGAAGTAATAACAAACTTCTCAGCCTAAGGCCAGGAAATCTAGGTCTTCCCCAGCCTCTGCTGCTGCAGTGTATTGGGCTCACTTTGCAAATATGTTAAACGAAAGCCTAATTAATTGTTCATGAAAGTTTCGGTCAGTTATCACATTTCATGATTCCAGGAGAGAGGCATAGAAGTTGGGGTTTAACCCTTCTCAGCAGACCTTTGTATAACCTGTATAGTAAATGCTAGGCATTGTGTCCTCTGAGTGTGTGTGTGAGTCTCTCTTGTGCTCCCCTAGTCCCTTCAAATACCTCTGTTAAGTTACTTAACGCTCTTTACTGGAATTAGAGGCTCCCTACTCTAGTTCCCCCACTGACTGCCTTATTATTTTTGCCAATAAGCAGAAGAATTCGCCGCACACAATAGGCACTCCAGAGGTATTTGGTGAATGACTCTTCATCTGTGAGGTTGAGCAGCCTGGAATGAGGAGCAGAATGAGCTTATCAACCATAATGTCAAGTAACATGGCGTTGAAACAACAATACGATTACCTCGTACTCTCCCTAGGAATTTCTGAGCCCACTGCATTGGGTGAGTCCCCAAAGTTTGCCTCTCATAAGCCTTGAATGCAGACGCACCCTGGGCACTCAGCCGCAGGTTGGCCACTGAGCCATCTGGGCTGGACACTTCTATTGCTTCTCCAGGTCTCATCTCCAGTCCATGGACAGGCTCCGCTGGCTCCAGTGTGGCTGCCTTACATGGTCTTGGCCGACAGAAAGGACAGGGCAGTGGGTGTTTGATCTCTCTCTTCAGGGCCACCACAGGCTGAACTGTCCCCTGACCAGAGGTCACAGCCCCTGTCACACAGTCCTCCTGCATATTCATTCTGCGCAGGGACAGGAGTGCCTCTGTCTCTGTCTTTCTGGGGTTCCTTGCCACCCATACCACAGGCTGCAACCTTCCTTTCTGTTTTTCCATATCCTGTTTATTAAGTCCTGGGCTGAACTCTGCTTAATCACTCACTTTGAGTACAACATCCGTTTCCTGCCAGGATCTTGACTGATAACCACTCCAATAGTATGAAGAGTAAACAATATGGCCAGTCACCAGCAGGCACAATGAGAGGATATGCACGCTGCTTTTTCCTACTCTTCCCCGGTGTAATTTGTATGCACCCTACAATGGCCATAGAGTAGCTACTTAATAAATCCTGGTTGAATGAATGAAAAAAGTTTCTAGGACACTTCTGACCTCAGTTTCAGATTCAAATACATGGAAAGCAATGTACAGTCATCAAGATGACCTGGTGAGTTAACTTCTTTAGATTTAAGGAAGTTTCTTATTTCCGTCATGGATGTGCTTTACAGATCCCATTCTCACTCTTCTCATGCTGTGACTGAATTATGGGTCAACTCCAGGATAAACAGTGCCCAGGGATGAGCTGACAGCTCAGGGGTAAGTTTAACAGACTCAGAGATTACTCTAATAGACTGAGAGATTAGTTTGCTGCTCCTTCCTGGCTCTTGGAGAAAATAGTGATTTTAGTTCATGTCTCTGATTCATATGCATTCACTTTGCAGGGTCATCACTTTTTACCTCCCATGCACAGATAGAAATGTAGTTTGGGGTGAGCTGTACCTCCCTGAATCACTCATGCTTCTACTGAACAAGCCAAATAATCAATAAAGCCGAACCATCACTCACCTCGTACATCGATCTCACTGAGGCAGTGAGGAAGCAGCTTCTAGTTCTGGTATTGGAGGAAGCACTTCCTTAACCCGAGTGGCCTCTATCATTTATAAAAGAGGATTGTGTTAGTGTGCATTTCATCAACAGCAGTGCAAAAAGAGATGCAATATATTCTCCTGTAGGAGGCACAGCAAGAGAACCCTTCTCTGCATCCAGAAAGGATTTTGGCAGTTTCCATCACTCACTAGATCTCCTGCCTACATCCCTAAAACCTTTAACCTACTTCTCTCAACTCTGTTTTGGTTCCTTCTTTCTTTCCCTCATCTTCTCAGCTCATTTTTCTGGGCACAAGACTTGCATTACAGTCAAGGAAAAGCAATGTAGAAAGAAATGTAAAAGCACAATATCAAGCAGCAAGCAAAGAATCTTAGTTTGGAAGCTAACTGTAAACATTCCCTTCTATTGCATTTTGTTGAAATATGTCCCTAAGGGGAATGTTAATAATGTCCTCAATTTCAAGGGCAATTTTACCAAGAAGAAAAATTTTAAGTTGCATGCATTCTAATCTGTCTTCTTGCTTTATAAAATTCTATAAAATTTTTTATTCACCTAATATTATTGTCACCCAACTTCAAAGGAGGAGAAAAAACTTTATGTCCTGCTTAGTGACATCTCTTTCATTGTCCTAAAATCTGAGGTCCTGCTTTCCTAGCTTTTGTATTGAGATGAGTTCTATGTAATATATATGGTTTTTGTCTCATGGACATCTCTACTGTGATGCAAAACCCCAAATATAAGAGGAAGGAGGAGACAATAATTTGAAGACAAGTTTAGGTAGTTGCTTTGTAAGAAACCAAAAGAGAAGATTTAAGTCATTCAAAAACATGATGCTTCTTGTCTGTTACCCAAAGAGAAATACTGTGGAACTTTAAGAAACTTTTTTGTTTCAATTATAAATTTTCTTTTCATAGGGAAAATTTTGAGATTTAATTTTCTGAATAAAGAACATATTCTCATTTATGTTTTAAATATTTTGTACTGGGGATTTAACCTAAGACCTTCACACTGAGCTACATCCTCAGCCCTTTTTATTTTATTTTAAACAAGATATAAGTTACAAAATTGCCCAGGCTGGGCTTGAATTTGTAAACCTCCTGTCTCAGCCTCCCAGGGTGCGTGTGCCTGTAAAGCAGTCTGTTCTTACCCTTTACCCATTTGCCTTCTGGATCCTGGTCTTTTGCTTGTTGGTTATGAGAAGCTCCTTGGATACTAGGCATTTAGCTGCTTATTTTCAATTAGCTGCAAATTTTTCTCCATTAGTTATATCTCTTTTTTTACCTTAGCTCATAGTGGGTTTTGATATGTACATTTTTTTCACATACTCAAATTTACTAATCTTTTATATGAATTTTGTGTTATGATTAGAAAGGTCCACTCTGCAGTTATAAATTAATTCAGTCATAGCTTCTTTCCTTACTTTTATAGTTTTATATTTGCATTAAAATCATTGATCTGCTTGAAATTTCCCCAGTGTTAGTGTGAGCTCTGGATTAAGTTCATTTTCTGTCTTGGTTATTCAGTTGTCTCAATACCACCCATTCAGTAATCCTCTATTTTCTGGTGCCATTTTCTTCCATGCTAAAGTCCTGAACTTTCTAATTTTTCATCTGATATGTTTATTTATTTTTTGTTTGTTTTTTTAGACAGGGTCTCACTATGTAGTTGAGACTGAACTGGAACTCACTATGTAGCCCAGGCTGATCTCGAACTCACAGCAATCTTCCTGCCTCAGCCTCCCGAGTGCTGGGATTACAGGCGTGCACCACCATGACCAGCTGATATGTTTATTTAGTCAAATACCAGAGCCATGATGGAATGGATGCTCATCATCTTTATTCTGTTATTTCAATTTTTCCCTGTTAATCATTGAGAATTTATTTTTCATAAAATTATTAAATGAACTTGTTTATTTCAAAAATATTACACTTACTGATTTAGGAAAAATTGGCAAGCTTACATATTCATCTTCTTATTCAAGGACATATTATACCTTTCCTTTTGTTCAAATTACTTTTCTTTTCCTAAAGAGTGCTTTCTTTGAAGTTTTCTTTCTTCAGAAGGATCTCCCTGTATATGAATTTTTTTTTTTTTTGGTACCTGGGATTGAACTCAAGTCCTTGCATTTGTGAAGCAGGCGGTGGCACCACTGAGCTGAATTCCAGGCCCTGATCTTGTATATGTCCTAGATATTTTATCTCTTTATAGTTGTTTGAAATGCTTTGTATCTTCTGACTAGTCATTTAGATAAAGAAATCCTATTGAATTTTAATATTAATTTGGTCAAAAACTAAAGCTAAAAAATTCCATTTGACCCAGCTGTTCACCTTCTAGGTATATTCCCAGAAATGTTAAAGACATCATATCACAGCAATCCATGCATACCAATGTTCATAGCAGCACTTTTCATAAAAAGAAAATGTTGTATTCCCACACAATGGAGCGCTACTCTACCATAAAGAAGGATAAACTCGAGTCATTTATAGGAAAATGAATGTGCCTTGAGGCCATAATGTTAAGTAAAGTAAATCAGACACACAGGCTTAAATATTTCATGCTTGCTCTTATATGAAAATCTTTATATATAAATAAAAGTACAAAATAAAAGACAGATAATAGAAAAAAGCGAGAAAAAATTATTGTAACCCAGCACTGACACTGTATCTAAACGTATAGCTTGACAGTAAAATTCATATGTATTTTATATGTTCTTGACCTATTTAGTTTGATTTTTAACCTGTACATTTAGTAATTAACTTTATAAAGTTTCATAAATAAATGAATCTGATGCTTGCAAAATAAAAAGGGGTGGAGGGGAGCAGGGGAAAAGAATTGAAAAGTGTTATGTACAGGTACCATTTCCCTATGATGAAAGTAGTTCTGTACTGCAGATATACACTAATAAAAGTCAAATGAATAGCTAAAATGATACTAATTTGGACTCTGCCTTGTTAAATTTTTATTTTTTATGATTTTAGTGAATTTTCTTAGATTCTCCAGGTACATAATTTCCAGGACACATCTGCAAAATAAATGATTTCACATATTCTTTGAAATTTTGGGACCTCATATTTCTGTGTTTTACCTAACTGTGTTGACAATGATAGAGGATAGTCTCAAAAATTTCTGGCTTTAGTTAGGCATGCTTCTAGCATTTTTCCATTAAACATATTTCTGAAGTTTCTGCTCACTCGTTTGAAATAGATATATTTTATAATGTTATGGAAGTTTCTCCATGTCTTATTTTTATTTTTTTGAGATAAGAACTCTTCATATTGTTCAGGCATAGCCCATGCTTGCCTGGAGCTCATAGCAACCCTTCTGCCTCAGCCTTCTAACTGCTGGGATTATAGTGTGCACCACCATGCCTAGCATTATTATTATAAGTTTTAATATATTTTTTCAAATGGAATTTTTAGCATCTATAATTAAACAAATCATCTTTCATCCTAGATCTATAAATACGATAAGTGACATTAATAAGTTTCTATTGACAAACAGTTTTCATACTCCTGGAATAAGCTCCATTTGATCATGGCAAGGTGCGTTGCATGCATGTGTGTGCTTGTGTGCATATAAATAAGATTTTGAAACTGTTCTATGGATGCTTTGCTACTATTTTGTTTAGGATTTTTGTGCATCTATCTATATCTATTTATAGAGATGTAGATATAGAGATATACATATATATGATTGCTCAGTAAGCTTTATGTTAGGCTTTCTTTCTTGAGTTTGGAGATTCTTAAAGCTTATGTCATAAAGGAAACACCCTCTTTTCCTTGGTTTGTGCCTTATCATGTGTAGAAGACTTGGTCCTCAGGGTGATATGATAGGAGGTAGTGGTGTCTTTCCAAGGTGGGGACTCATGGCAGGTCACTGGGGGTGTACCCTCAGAAGGGGTAAGTAGCTCTTGTGGAACCCTGGTTAGTTCTCCAAAGTGGGTTGTTATCAAAGAATGAGCTTGACATCTCTCTGGTCTCCCCAGCTTCCTCTCTGGTGAAGTGATCTCTCCCACTCACACATGCTCCTGCTTCTGTGGTACCACAGAGGCTTTCACCAGATCTATGTGGAAAACAGAGCCATGCCTTTGAACCTCCAGAACTGTGAGCCAACTAAACTTCTTCTATTTGTAAAGTATCTAGCACCACGTATTTTGTTATAGTAACAGAAAAGAGACTAATATACAGTAAGTCCCTGACTTATGAATGAGTTCCATTCTAGGAGAGTATTTGTAAATTGGATTCATTCATAATCTGAGAAAGTGAGTCTGATACAGTGTACCTGTGAATCTTGTACAGTACACCTGTGAAAATTCACAGCTCAAATGTTTGTAAATCAGGGACTTACCATAGTTTTAGTATTTTGTATGCCACTGGGAACATTTATGTGTTTGAGATTAGCAAAATTCTCGAGAAAATTGTTTTCCTGTTACTTTTTGAGGGCAACTTGATACATTTGTCTATTTCTTCTACGGCAATTGTTTTGTTTAGATTTTCTATATCTTCTGGTGTCCAGTTTTGTGAATTCCTCTAGAAAGCTATACATTTAACTAAAGATTTTAAAAATTAAGATAATAACTATTTTTTATAGGGAGCAGAAATAAGTAGATCCTTTTTGAGGCTATTTCTAGTGATATTAAAGTCTCTTCCATAGTTATAAAAACGCTAAAATAATGCTAAAGTTGGAATTTCTTTTTATAGAGCATTTAGTATTGTAAAAGGTAAATGATAAAACTTCCTGAGCAGGACAAACATGACTGAAACCCAGTCCTTCCCTGGGGCAGAGCACCCATGTCCTTACTCACCTCCTCACAAGCCTACTTAGCACCTTTTCTTAGTGTCACTGCCAGTGAGTACTGATCGCTTCTGCAGGGCTCTTGCTACTTCTGTCAGCCCAGCCTCACACTGTAAGTTCCTACAGCACTTCCTGTTCCTTTAAACCAGTGATTTCTGTCCTTTTAAAGCTGTGTTTTCAAAGGATGACTGTGGGAGGCCAAATTCCAAGATGGTCCCCAAGATTCCTATCGCCTGGTGTGCGTGCTCC